GATGTTATTATGAAAATATATTTTCTCTATTTTAATTTCTCTATTTTACGGTTTTTTTAGTTCGTTTAAAAAATATTTTTTTTATAAAGATCCGGTTAAGTATAATTAGGTCAAGTAATTTTAAATGACCTTATAGATTCATGTCATGTGTATTATATCATAATTTATGATTGAGATTACATACTCATCTTAATAGTTACTTTAAATTATATACTCATCTTAATAATACAAATAACAAAGTTGTTAATCATTTTTATTTTTTAAAAACTATCAAATAAAGCAATTAAATGTACTCAAACTAACATTTTCAAGAAAAGAAAATTAAGATTGATGGATATGCGGATCGAGAGTTGATGATAAGACTCAATTTGATAATGCAAATACTTTCAATCAGGTATATTAAATTTTCTTTTTCAATCTTTTTTTTTTTGAAAATATTAGTTTGGGTATACTCTTAATTGTTTTAATCGATAGTTTTAAATAAAAACTTTCTTGTTTTTATTATTAAGATGAGTATATAATTTAAATGAATCTCAACCATAAATAATCATATAATACACATGGCATGAATCTATAAAGTCATTGAACATTACTTGACCTAATTATACTTAACCAGATCCTTACCCTTTTTACAAGTCTCAACTTTTAACTTTTTACACGACATATATAAGATCACAAGATTAAAAAATATTTGTACATATCTAACATAATTTTAGTTTATGATTCTCATTTTAAATGTTAAGGCGTTTTTATAAAAAATCTACAATTTATTTCTATTCGCAATCCAATATAAAAATCAATTACTTCCGTTAAACAAGATGACATCTTGAGCAGTTACATATCCAAGATTCTTGAGACAAGTAGATGTGTCAGAAGTTTCATATAAAAACCAACGTTTATTAAAGAAACTGTAGAGTCGATTACTAATAGTACCGGTTTGAAAGACTCGTAAAAATTGATCTGCTACAAGATTAATATTATACGAAAATCAACATGGATTGGAGTGCACTAGTAGAAGTGATACACCCTAAACAAGAAGTCTCGAGTTCGAGCCTTGAATATGGAGAAAATCTTAGGAGCGCCACCCTCGAATGGGCCCTGCATTGCGCCATCTAAATTTAGTTGAAGTTTCGATGTGGTCTCCAAACATCAAGTGAAAAACCAAAAAAAATATTATACATAACATTAACATCTGAAATATTAAATAGATCGGAATACGTATTAATTTGATAATGATTAAAGCAACAAACTCGAATACAAATTTTAAATAAGATCTTTATTTTTAAAAATTTCATATCAAATAAAAAATAAGATAAATAAATTAAAACGAAGATACGAATATCATGTTTTGTGATGACTTGGGTAATGCATGCATAGGAGAGGGAAAATATCATATATTAAACATAAAACGTGGCTCAATAGTAAAAGGCAAGTGTTAGGATTATTATTGATTTTTAACAAAATAAAATTGACTAATGTAATGCTGCCTAGTGGTATAATTATATTTTCCCACTCAACCAACATTTGAAGTTTGATAAAAAATAATATTTTACTCTTTCGTTTAGTGGTGTATACAAAATTTTATGTAAATACATAATATTATCCATTATAACAATTTACAATTAAACTTGTATGTTTGATGGATTTGTTTCTATGATCTGGGGTAAATTTAAGAGAAACGAAAGAATACTCATCTGAATTCCATCGATAAAAAGTTATACCATATAATTTTTTTATATTATTGGATATTGGATATATATAACTCTTGTTCATGCTTAAAAGTTGCCAAAAAATATATATATGGCCATCTTTCACTTTTGTATATGCTCAAAAGTTGGCAAAAATATATGCTTTAATTTTTTATTTTTTTATTTTTATTTTTTTAAAAGGAAAAATTATTTTAATAAAAAAATAAGTCGTGCAAAGCCGGCCAAAAATAGCCAATTGCAAATAAATTCCCAAGAGATCAAAATCTGATCTTTTGGAGTTGTTCAAATCTCTATATTTTTCTATAAAAAAAAATTGATTTTATTCCAACTATTTGTGTTTTTTTTTTTAAAAAAAAAAAAGGTTTATAATTTTGTTTTAACTATTTTTTTGTTCTCTCTTGAGATCGTGCAAAGGTTGGTATGACCTTCAAAGTACATTGAAAGATAAAATTTATTTGATAAAATGAAACAAAAAATAAAAATGTACTAGGTTTTTTTATTATTATTAAAGGTGTGAAATGGTGATGCAAGGGTTGATAAGGTAATGTAATAAAAAAAAATTATCACCAATCATTGTGTTATGTGCACACTAAATTTAATTAATAAAAGACATGTGTTAACTATCATCTTTGTAAAATAAAATTATTTGGTAATTGATTATTTAACATAAATCTTACGATTAAATTATTTGATTTGATATAATACCTGATGCGAATAAGTTCGAGACATTTTTTATGATAGATATGAATAAGAAAAAAAAACAACTAGGTCATTAGATGATGAGGGAAAATTTATTTTTATAATATGATTAGTTATCTTTTGTTATAACTATACTAATTTCGAAAAATTATTATAGATTTACGATAGAAAATCACGAGACTTATGCAAGACATAATCAACTGTTCTATGATATAATGCTTATTATTTTTCACTGTAAATTTTTAATTCTGTATATCTCGATTTTCCTTAATAGAAATCTGATTTTACCTTCACATGCAACACTAAAATATTACAACAAAAATAATGTTACGTGGGGATATGTTAAAGTTTTTTTTTTATATAATTAGTACAACAAAGAACAATGGTTAGGTATTGAGACAAAAAGGAACAAGAATCGAACGTTGGACTTACTATGTCGGATTTAGTTAGTAGTTTTGAAGAAATTAGTACTTGTCTTCCATGATCAACTTTCTTTGTTAATCCGAATTCCATTCGATAAAAAATTATATTATTTATATATGATTAAAATAATTTTTTAGAGATATATATAGTAGATGTTGAACCTCTTTCAGCTACTTCGTATGTTTATTTCTATGGATTCTAAACCCCTTTACTGAAAATTCTGACTCCGCTACTACACGTAATTATGTTTTATGTCTATTTTTGAAAATATTTACGTCACATAATTCATATTTTGTGTATAATGAAACACATGACTATCTTATATTTGTGTATTAAATATCTTTAATATAAGAATGAAAATATTATATACAATGATTTTCTCTTAAATATAATGTTGTATAATATTATTTATTGAATAATATAAATATTTTCAAACGCTGTATAGTTTTGAACATTTCCCATATCATCATGTTCTCTCAATCACTTAATTTTATTTTTTTAACTTTGATAATGTATGGTGATGTAATTTTGTCCAGCTAGAGTATCTTAATTAATCTATTATATTTCGGTTTATTCTGCTAATTGTTAATAGGAATTATAATATATTATATAAGATTAAAAAGGATAAATATAACGGTGTTAAATGGTTTTTAAAAAATCATTAGGCATGTGTCTGTTATTTACGTCTAATAAGTTTCTCCATTAAAAAATTTAGTGGCGGAGTTAAAAATTTTTAATAAGAAAATTTAAAATTTGAAGAATTAAACAAACGAACTAATTAAAGAATATTTAATATTTATTATATATATAAACAATAATTTTAATCATGTATAAATAGTACTATTTTTTGCTCAAGGATGAAACTCCTAAACAGAAGGCAGGCTCCGCCCGGGGTTTCAAATTTCTATAAATAAAAAATTAGGTATCTTAACCCCATTAAATAAAAGATATAAAAAATATTGTTTCGAATATTTACATTTTCTTTGTTAACACTCACATTATTTATTATTTTTAATTCCTTTTATATTTATTCACATTTTTGATAGTTAGACAGTAATATGCTCTCAAAAATATGAATCAAATAAAGTGAATTACAAATTCTTTTGTTAGTTCTTCCTAAATTTTCATATTAAAGTAAGTATACCAGATAATCAACTTTTTGAATCACATTCGATAATTCTAACTCTTATCTTTAAAGTTTATCAACTTATTACTTAAAAAATTATGTTAATAAAAAGATAATTTTCAATGTGGAATTGGTAAAATCTTACCTAAAAATAATAATCAAAATAAGTATTTGAAAAATCATTTATATAAAAGACATTAATCAAATAGTAATTTACATCTAAAATTTAAAAAAAAAATATAGATAAAATTTATTTAAACTTTAGCCCTCTAATTAAAATTTTATTTTAGACCTCGAATTATATTAAGCTGCGTGATCCTCACATTTTAAAATGAGTACAAGCCAACAAGAAATATATAATTTGTAGAGAAGTGTTTCTCTTTATTTTCTTAATAACTTAGTTTACTTCTTCTTATTCTCTCTTTCTGAGAAACTCATAAATTATCATTAATAATATTTAAAAACACAATTTAATTCATTAATCAGTGGATTAAAACTTTAAAATTTGAAGTCATATTGCCCCAATGATTAGATTAAGACAGTTATCCTTCCAATTAGTCCAAGATTTCATTAATGATTAATCTCTAATTAAAAGAATGACACAAATTTTTATTTTATTAGTTGCATGAGTTGTACATTGCCTGGTGATTGGCCCCCACCAGTGGACTCCTAAAGATTCCTTTATGGAATTATAGATTTTAATATATAAATAATACTCTCTCCGTTTCAATTTATCTGTCTTATTTTCTTCTTTAACGTATTGTTAACTCTTCATAAATTCATATGATATATTTCAGATCATAAGATTAAATAACATTTCAGTATATTTAAAATATCACAAGATTCATTTTTTTCTATAAAAAAATAAAACACGACAAACAAATTAAATTAGAGAGGAGTGTCAATTATTTATTTATCTAATAAACTTATAACCCCTTTTCTAGTACTAGTATAAATAAGTTCCAAAGTTTTGTCTCATATTAATCCAAAGTAAGATACATCCTCAAAAACCTTATTTTGTCCTATCACTTTTTGAGAATAATATTTTACTAAAAAAAATCATCACACAACATATAATGGAGCAAATGGGAGCATCTTTTGATGAAGAATATTGTCAATCTTTGAGCAAAATGTTCTTGAATGAAAATTCATCAGATTTTATGTTTCAATTACATGGTGAAGATAATATTATTGAAGGGAGTTTTTTTTCTTCTTCTAATTCTCATACTAGTAACAACAATATAGATTATTTTTCTCAAGAAAATAGTATTGATAGTAGAGGAAGTGATGCTATGTTTTTTCTCAACAACAACACAAGTCATGAATATTTACAATATAATTATGATGTTGAGTCCACTAATTTTTATATGACGGGCAACAAGATGAATCTTGAAAATTCATTGTCTAATGATGATTATGTTATGAAAGAAAATATTGGCAATAATTATAGCCAATTGGATAAAGAAATGTTGCTAAAGAGAAAGTTTGATAAAGTTGAAGTTCAATCAACAACACAAGAGGAAACACACAAGGAGTTTGAAAATCCCAAGAAGAAATCAAAGGTGTCAAGAGATCATGTGAGTAATATAAATTCGTGTTCGATACTTACTCAATTAATATTTATTATCTCATAAAGTCATTTCCTTTCTTGAAAAAAATGACTTGACCAAATGAGGTATTTACAATCTTGAACTCAATGATTGTTGTTCAGACTTTTCAAAAATATCGTCAGATACATGTCAGATCCTTAGTGCTAGTTTGAAGAATCTGACAAGGATCTGACAAGCGATAATATTTTTGGAGAATCCGAACGACATAGCTCAACATGATAATTTGTAATAGGGGTTAATTATTAACTCAATGCAGGGACAAAAAAACAAGAAGAATAGCCAACCAAAAGCCAAAAAGAACATCCAAATGAACAATGAAGAAGTTGGAGACAAAGAGACTAATAATAATGGACAAAGCACAAGTAGTTGTAGCTCTGAGGATGATTCAAATTTAAAAACCAAAACAAGGGCAAGTAGAGGGGCTGCAACAGATCCACAAAGCCTTTATGCAAGGGTAAGAACATAAGATTTTATTTAATTACGAATAACATTACCACCTGAAAGATAACTACATGTAACTGTTTCGTAAAAGGTTAAATATATAAAATAAGACAAGCTATTTGTTACAGCATGTTAAATTATATTGATAGGGCAAAGTTCTTTGTGTTGTTCGTGTATATAAGTCAAATCTTGAAATTAATAGTTTGATTCAAAAAAAAATTGCAGAAAAGAAGAGAAAGAATCAATGAAAGATTGAGAATCTTGCAAGGTCTTGTCCCTAATGGCACAAAGGTAAAAACAATGTTTATTTCATTAGTCATGAAAATCTACGATGCTCAGACTCTTTAAAAATATCGATAAATGTATGTCAGATTCTTTAAAAAATTTATTTTCTAGAAATCTGACACGAATGCTATGACAATTTCGGAGAATCTGAGCAATATAGCTTGAAATAATATACATAACATTTGTTTATGTAATCAAGAATTTTCTAATTAAGTTCTTTAATTGATATAATTCAGGTTGACTTAAGCACAATGCTTGAAGAAGCAGTCCATTATGTGAAGTTTTTGCAGACACAAATTAAGGTAATAAAAACAAACAAAAATTAAAAATTAAGAAAATATCTCATTTTTTCACTTTATTTAATTTATTATTTGATTGAATGCATAATTAAATATTTTTATTTTACTGCAGTTACTGAGCTCAGATGATATGTGGATGTATGCACCAATTGCTTATAATGGAATGGGGATTGACCTCTAATTAATTTATGAATTTGGAAGCAATAAACAAATGTCATTTTGTTTTTAATTATTGTGATATATAAGACATTAATGTCCCATATGCTAACTATATAAAAACACATTTATTAATTTAATCTTTATCATAAGTACTTCTCATGTTTCATATAGTAGACATATATAAAGCATATCAATTACCATAGTTTTATATAAATGTTTCTAAAATCTTAAATGATTTTTAATATAATCATATTAACTCAATTGTCGCTAAATGTTTAGAGAAACCTATTTAAATATTCTTTTATATGTATAAAAGAGATCATCACTATTATGTACTTGTAAAATCAAAGTTGATATTGAAATTTTGAAGGGTTGATTTGCTATTAAAAAATAACCCCTAAAAAAAGACAAAGAACACCCTAAATTAAAATACAACACTTTACGTTTACGTACACTTATTTAAAATTTTAAAATCTATATATATATATATATATAAAAGAGTTTTTACTCTTTTATTCTACTCTTTCTGGAGATTCGAAGCTACGTGGTTGAACCACTCACTTGGTTCCATTCGTTCTTAGAGAGAAAGGCTCGTTATATATATGTTACCATATCTAGATAGAGTACAGTCATATTCTACTAGTTAAAGTCAAAGTGGTTAAATAGATGGATCATGTTGAATTTTGAGCAAGTTGACCCCTATATGAGGTTAAAATTCAAGTTATCAAATAGGAATATCGCGCTGAATTTAACGATATTTCTCATGAATCAATTAGGTTACATACTTTATTTATATTGGTATTGTTTTTTCAATGAGGCTAAAATTTAAATGGTGGAACCCAAAGATCCTATTTGTGCAAATTTTCCATTGAGACTTGTATTGTCATAAGGCCTCTCAAGCCCGTATATATTAGCCCACTTTGTTGATGAAATTTCGGAATGTTCTGTTAGGCCCATTTTATGCAATACGATCCATTAGAAAAAAGGGGAAACTAAGTAAATACATAATAAAAAAAATATTTAGAAATATATGCCTCTTTACATAAACTATATACCCCCAGGTAATTCCGTTTAACTGATATTTTATTAGTATAATATATTGTATTGATATCATTAAGCCTGATCAGAGTATATATAGATACTCTTATAGTATGGTATCATTGACTAATGATTAAATTTCTGAATAATAAACCTTAATGATACAACAACGATATAGATATATTGACTAATGAGTAATTTCTGAACAATAAACCTTAATGATACAACAACAATATACATATATTGACTAATGAGTAATTTCTTAACAGGAAACCTTAATGATATTAATACAATATATATATATACTAATTTAGTATCAAGTTAAGCGAAATTGTCAGCCTTAATAATATCAATACAATATATATATATATATATATATATATATATGATACTGATTTAGTATCATTTAAGCGAAAATTATCAGCCTTAATGATACAGTATATATGATACTGATTTAGTATCAGTTAAGCGAAAACTACCAATCTTGATGAATGAGGGTATGAGGTGTAATCATTTATGAAAGAATAATATTTCACGAATTACTTTGGGTTTGGATATGAACTTCTAATTATTTTGAAATCTATGGCTCATTTATGTAGTTTTCTCCTAGGGATCGATATTTATATTCATCCCTAGCCCTTAGTGGAGGGTAGACATTTCTCAATCCATGAATGTGTATGCACCAGATCGAATAATGAAACGCCAAATAAAGAATATTTATGTATGAGCTTAAGAGGTGACAATGAAATGTCCCATGTCGCTGATTGAACTTTTGATAATCCTTCTTTCTTTAAGTTAGCTTTTGAGAATTGAGTTAACCATCGGTTCTAACTTAACCTTTCATACCCTTTTTCTCAAAGTTGACAAGTTGTTAAGCAAGTGGCTGCTGGCTGCTGAAAAAAGTCACACAAAATATAAGTCAATATACATTTTTTTTAGCTTACCATAGTCTAATATATACCACTTGCATTTAATAAAAAATATTCACTTAAGGCAACTACTTGATCAACTTGCTCATTTTTCAATTTCATTCAACTACTTATTAATCAACTACCTAATAATTATAAGTACTACCTTCCTACTACTTGTCTAGCAACTTCCTTCTATATCTCACTCACCAACTATATATTCACTAACAAATATCCCTTTCTTCTCTTCACTCACAACAAATTCTTCATATATACAACTATAGTAATGGCACTTGAAGCTTTGAATTCATGGACCAAAGGCAAGATTAGATCGAAACGATCGCGTAGCATCGTCATGGAGGAGCAACCATCAATTATTACCGAAGAAGAGTACTTAGCTCTGTGTCTACTCATGCTCGCACGCAGCAATAACAATAACAGTAACAGTAACGTTTCTATTACTGGTGACAATTTGTACAAGTGTTCAGTTTGTGGTAAGTGTTTTGGATCTTATCAAGCTTTAGGAGGACACAAAGCTAGTCATCGTAGTAACAGAGATAAAGTCTGCGAACAATCTGTGATCGTCACGTCAGGTAATGTGGTTAGTGGAAGGACTCATGAGTGTACCATTTGCCACAAGACTTTTCCAAGTGGACAAGCTTTGGGTGGTCACAAAAGGCGACACTATGAAGGGAAGATGACGTCATCATCATCGTCGAACGGTGTGGGGTCGGTCAACAACTTTGACTTGAATATTCCGGTGTTACCAGATAATTGGCCGGGTTTTGCCTCGGGCGAAGATGAGGTGGAAAGTCCTCATCCAACTAAGAAATTAAAACAATTTCCTTCACTTGAATTATTTCAAACAACAATAGGACACACTTTGTAAAAGTGATTACTTGATTATTTCATTCATTTGATTTATTCTTTTAAAAAAATTACTATTATTATTTTGCCTTTGATTGTGTTTGTTGCACTAACAAATATTGTTGACACACAAACAATAGTTATTGCGCGAATAAACATATTGAATAAAATAAAATCGTCTAGCAACCAAACTTTGTTGTGAAGTGTAAATAGTAAAAATGTAACTATAACTCGTAATATAAAAACCAAACTATAGTCATTTCTAATAAAATTTTCTAATCATAATCATTAATTAATAAATACATCAAAAAATAGTGGGAATTAATAATTACAATCAAAGTTGGAAGTTGTTAAGGCTGCTGGTGGCTCATAAAGTCACACAAGATTAAGGTCAATATTGTGAAATATGCCCAACCTATAATTAGGGATGGACATAGTTTGAGCAAACTTGTACTTTTTTTTTCCTTCTCTTCTTCCTTTTGCCGGCCGCGGAGACCGGAAAAAAAGACAGTCTGAAAAAAAGGATCTTCTCCGTCTACACGTTTTTGAGAATAGAATGGCAAAGTAGGATGTGAGGTTTGAAACTAGGGGAAAAGAACAAATATATCCTCGAACTATCGTAAATGACATGCAGATACTCTGTTATATTTTTTGGACATTGATACCACTGTCATCCAAAAACTAGAGTATATATGCCCCTTCACTCTTACGAAAGACTAAATAGGGACACATGACACAATCTTATCCATCGATCAGATACCTAATAAATGTCGAGTCGATGAATAAGATTATGACACGTGTATGTTCGTTAATATAAATGGTACATATGCTCTAGTTTTTGAATGGCAGAAGCACTAATATTTCAAAAGTATGACGAAGAGATCTACATATTATTTACGATAATTTTGAAATATATTTATCTTTTTTCACTTTCAAAATAAGGCAGTCCGAAAAAAGGATGTTTGTTGAATTTTTTTTAGATATTTGATTAGGACTTTGATATAAAAAATTTGTGGTTATTGAAGATGTATACATCTTTCTAAATGTATGAATCTTAAACCTCCACCAATCATTTTATATGTTGAGGAAAGAGATGTGTTTTGACTTTAATTTTGACAGAGTCCATAGTCTACATGCAGCTTAAGGCAACTGTCCCAATAAATATATATTATCTCCATTCACTTTACTATTTAAAAATAAATTTTCATTTTTAACTTTTTTCATTTTTAAAATTATTTTGATATCAAACAGTAAAGATCTCTGGTTCAAATATGAAGTTTTGAATTATTAGATATTAGTTCCGTCGTTTCATTTTATATAAGATAGTTTGACTTAATTTAAAATTTAAAAAAGAAAAAAGACTTCTAAAATTCTGTAATCTAAAATAAGTGAATATATATTTGTGTGAAGAATAAAACCAAATAGGAGTAAATACCTTGAATCCTTTTTAGCCGTCTTTGTTGAGGGCCAGAACTCAGAAGCAAAAGCCAAGATTAAGAGTTTGGGAGGGTTCTAAATTTCGTCAATAAACATCAATCAATATTATTAGGGTTTAGAAGTTAATATACAAATGTATTTAACTAACTTTCTAGTACAAATATAGAATTTACGAAAAAACTAATAAATTCGCTCAGATCCATGAACTCCCACCTAGCTCCGCGTCAGTACTAAACAAAGTTCCACTTGGCCCTCAAGTAATAAATATTTGTGCTCCACTCTCTCCTTCTTACTTCTTGACTTGCAACTTCCTTCTCTAAATTCCTCCCCATTATATATATTACAAATTTCACTCACTCAAAATCAAACAAACAAAATTCAACTCTTTATCTTCTTTTCACTCACAAATTTCTTCAATCACTAAGAAAAAAACAACTAGTTATGGCACTTGAAGCTTTGAATTCTCCAACCACAACAACTCCACCATCACTATTTCAATTCCAAATTAATACTACTACTCAAAATTACCTTGAATCATGGACAAATAGCAAGATGAGATCGAAACGACCTCGTAGCGGCCTCATCATGGAGGAGCAACAACCAATTATTTCTGAAGATGAATACTTAGCTTTGTGTCTACTCATGCTCGCACACAGCAATAACAATAACAATAACGATATTACTAGTAGTGTTCAGTTTGCGGCAAGTGTTTTGGATCTTATCAAGCTTTAGGAGCTAGTCACCGTAGTAATAGAGATAAAGTCAACGAACACTCTGTGATTACATATAGTGCCACGTCAGGTAACGCGGTTAGTGGAAGGACTCATGAGTGTTCCATTTGCCACAAGACTTTTCCAACTGGACAAGCTTTGGGTGGTCATAAGAGACGTCACTATGAGGGAAAAGTGACGTCATCATCATCGTCGTTGAACGGTGTGGGGTCCGTCAACAACTTTGACTTGAACGTTCCGGCATTGCCGGAATATTGGCCGGGTTTTGGCTCCGGCGAAGATGAGGTGGAAAGTCCTCATCCAGCTAAGAAATTAAGGCAATTATTATGACAAGTTCATAATTTAGTATACTTGTTTAATTTGTTTTTACATGTCCATTTGGATGAGGTGGACAATTTTTAATTTTTTTTCAATTTTTTGTAAATGTCCAATACACTTGGAGAAAGTGATTAATTGATTGATTTATTTTACTAAATTATAAATCAAACTCATTGATTTTGCAAGTTGTACTCTTTTTTTTACTATTCATTTTTTCTTCTCTTCTAGATTGACCAGTCGAATGCACTAAGCTTTTTGTCACGTGTGAAGTCTATAGAAAAGTCGAACCATATTAGGTTATTTTCGCACTTGAACATATGATCCTCTGTACGTGACAACAAATCTTACTGTTGCTAAGGCTAACAATAAATAATCAAGAAAATCTAAAAAAGTAGACTCCATCTTCAAACACTTCTAGACATGATCAATTGCCTAGAAAGACTACTACTATCACCATGTGGGGTCTGGGAACGGTAGTGTGTACACAACAAACCTTACCGAGGTAGAGAGGTGGTTTCTGATAAGACCCTCGACTCAACTATCACAATTATTATTTAAGTACTACAATTTCTGGTCTAAGTATCAAACTATAGCATATGCAGTCTATAGCTAAGTGATGGTAAAGTAATTTAGAAGAACTACCTAATGCCAAAAACTTATTAATGGTGCAGTTCCTTCGATTAAATATAATGCGCGATTAAATAGGGCCAACGAGTGGCTTAACAGTTACTCCAACCCTTGCAACACCTAGCAAAGAATTATCAGTTATGTACGAAATTCAACTACATAGATAACTGATAACTTGTGCAAGTATCGCCTAGCTAGAAGCGTACTAGAAGTTACATACCATGGTAATACAGAGTGTTTCAACGAAAAAATTTACAAGAACAACACAAAATTAGCAAAGACAGCTTTTCGTAAGCAAAAACAACACTTGACCAACTTTAGCACAGCGGTGGAAGTGGATTAACGATGAGCTTATGGGAGCCCATCGATAGTGCTAATAGGAGGAGGTGAAGGCTTAGGAATATAAGGCATAAGAGGAGTACCATGCTCAATAGGTCCTGGTTTTACGGAAGCTTTTGAGCTTGGAACTGGATCGATGGGACGATAATCTTCCAGGCCTAACTTGCTTGAATCGTCCTCATTGATGCTTGGACCGTAGCCATTGTCCTGAAGATGGGAAATAGTGAAGAAAAATTGAGGCTTTTTAGTGATCCATACACAATTTATGATTTCTACATCACGTAAACGATAACTATAAGTTATAACCGCCATAAAGTACCTGCAGCTTTCTGTTCTTTATGGTCATCGTTGTATCGATATTTTGCCATTTGAAGGACATTCCTGTGTTTCATTTACGAGAAAGCTACGTCAATACCATACCCTTGCGTGAAACTGTGAATACGACTATCTGCTGATCAATTCTGTAGCTTTAACCTCAGTATCTGGCAAACAGAGATTGGTATATATATCTCATACAATTCTTCTAACGGCAGCACCATGTATATATTACAAACCGAAATAAATGTATCCAAAAATGTACTGAGACTTTGTGAAAGAACCTCGGGCAGACATTTGAGAACCATCGAGAAACAAATACGATCAATAACATAAGTAGTTCATTAAAAGTAAGATGAATTGGTGTATACATAAAGTGAAGCAAGACAATTTAAGTTGATATCAAATAAACAACAACCGATGTATAATCCCACAAGGTGGGATCTGAGGAGGGTAGAGTACAGTGTACGTAAACCTTACTCCTACCTTGTGAGGGTAGGGAGGCTGCTTCCGATAGGTGATAGACCCTATAAAGGGAAGAGAAGAGTATACATGTAGATAATCATTTTCTCGTTATGCTCTCTTGATTACCTATATAATAGAAAACGACTAGTATGTTCATTTTATATGTATCACAAGATTTGTGATGAAAGAAAAAGCCATTTATACTCAGATCCATTTACGATAAGGAAAACGAGGTAAACAAATAGTTAGGGAGTGAAATAGCATTTTTTCGGAGAGCAACCAAGAAAGATAGTTAGCACGGATACAAACAACATACCCAGTGTATTGCAAACCTTACTCCTACCTCGTACAGATAGAGAGGTTATTTCCGATAGACCTTCAGCGTTAACAAAGCCTCTCAAACAGTTTCTAAAAGTGGGATACAGATATGGGAGCAACAACAAAATAACGCGAAATGGAGAGTGTTACACAACAAACACGAGGGAGAGCAGTAACAACAACGAAACAATGCAATAATCCTTTAGGTAAATAACTCAACATTCATCCAAGTCCATTATACACCATTCTTGCCAACAAATAATATTATACCAATTTAGAAAATATATACATAAAATACTTAGTTTTACAAAAAAAAAAAACACACACACACAAAAAAAAAATTCACATACCCCATTTTAGGCTATAAATTCACAACAACAACAACAAAACTTGAACAAACTTAATACAGTAAAAAAAAAATTAATAGCTACTAAGTCCAAAAATGAACAAGTAATTAGAGCTAGTTAACAAATCAAGATTCTGAAATATGAAAAAAAATTACTAGTAATAATATCACAAGAACAATAGTAAGGGTTTTTACCTCCAGTGTTGAAGCAAAAAAAGGATAAAAAAGCTGTAATTCCCATCATCAAGAACAGAACAGAGAACCCAAAAGTCTTCATACTGTAAAAAAGTAAAAAAGATTTGATTTTTGGAAAAATTTATTGACACCCTTTTCAAGAAAAGAGAAGTTCTTGAGTAAAATTCAATTCATTTGAAATGTTTCTTCAAAGAGAGCCCACTATTTTGATGGATGAGTAGTAGAATAAAAAAGAACAACTATTTTTCTATTTGTTTCTACTATTTTTTATGGAAAAAAAATATTTTAATTTTTTTACAAATCTTTAATTCTAATTTTCGACAAATCGTATTGAAAATCTTAAAATAAAAAAGATATTTTTCGTATTTCTTTTAATTAAAATTTACTAAAGGAGGAGTATGTTGTCTTACTAGAGGTCAAGTAATATGAAAAGTAGATAAAGAATCTTTACATAAATAATTAGACAGATTTGCTATTTACTTTTTGTAGGCAGTGATAACTTGTATACATAGACTGTGCACGATCATACATAGTTATATATTCGCAGTGGATAGCTATATCGGTTAATTCTTCTTAATTTATTTAACATAATAAGATTCAAAAGTTATAATTACTTTATTGCATTCGGTATACAGTTAAAGTTAGACAAACGAATTAAAACAGAGAAAGTACGATTAAAATAAAGAAATGAATTTTATGAGGATGAGTCATGAAGAAGATTAAGTAGAAAAGTGCAATGTGTATAAGGGGAGAGTAAATGAGAGAGTTATTGCACCTTTGTTGTTGTAAGTACTTTTGTTTTTTTTTTAAGTTACAGAAACAATGGGGAATGAAGCCAATTGAATGCTTAACATGAGGGGAAATGAGCCTTTCCAGTCTTGAACATTGGTCTTTTTTTCAAATCACCATAAAGAGAGACCTTTTATTTTTGGATTCTTGTATCATTTGGTATTAAAAGATAAGAAAACAAAAATTTAATACTTCTTGACTCTTTTGTTATCCTTCACATATATTCATTATTGAAATTTATTGTTAGTTATGTTAATTGCTCATTAAAAGTCTTTTGATCTCCCGGAATTAGAAGAGCGTCGTCTCCTATAACAGCCTCAACTAGATCCGCTATGTTCCACCTCTCGGGTACGTCCCTACCGCTGAGTCGAAGCAACTCTGCGCTATTTTTGCAGATGTCGCGAAATAACTGAGTTAACTCCGGTGGAGCGCTGCTGTTGCCTGCGCGTAGGGCCGTCCCCCACTCCCGTCCCGGGGCGCTAAGGGGCTTTTGTTTTTGGAACAGACGGCAGTGTTTTGCTGACGCCTCGAATCAAGCTTTTATTGCGACATGCTATGCTTTCTCCCCCATTGCTAGTAGGTTGATGGGTCGCGCGCCCGGCACACATGTTTTGGCCTTGTGTGTCCATAACTCAAAATAGGTGACCTAACGGCCGCCGGTACGGGACTAAGGGACTGTGGGAATAGCGATAGACCGGATTCAAAGATATAGGCCAATCAAAACAAAAGGAAGATGGTGAAAGACCACCACAAAGAGACCCTCGCTCACGCCTTAGTCTTATTCGAAAACAAAAGCGGATGGACCTTCCTCAAGAAAAAAGCCAATCTGATTTCGGGGGGCATGTAGGCGGAGAAAGGCTGGGAAACTATAAGGTCTCGTAGGAAAAAGACAAAACGTAGGTAGGCTGCCACGCGGAGTGAGGGTAACTAGCCAAATCAAATAAATGTATCGGGGCGTTGACTAATGTATCCAATATTGAGACATAATATTTCAGAACATTGAGCAATGTACACGATGCATCAAAACGTTAACCCTACGCAATTTGCGTAAAATTCCCAAGAATGTTATACTCCTTCCCTTCTGTCTCAATTTATGTAAAGAAAGACTCTTGAAATTTATGATCTGAAGTTATAATGTATCTATACGAAAAGTACGACATTCTAATGATGTAGACGAGGTGTATACTCAAAGACTCGTCTTCATCGATACACTGGAAATTGAAAACAAGGAAAATTAATGGAAGAAATAATCAGTTTGTAGCTATTGAATCAAGGGTCTTGACCTATTCTATATCATTCTGTAAACAATGTTTGAGCAACTCAATATGAGGACTGATCAGCAGTAGTTTTATCTCAATTTGTGATGTTTTGAGGCTTCTGGAGAAGGGGTTGCTTACTAAACAGCAATGGCTTTCTTGGAACTGGCCATATACGTCAAATATATCGTCCAAGCATACGCGAATGCACTGTTGGCTAATGGCTGTTAAAGAGCATTACCAAAAACGTTAACCTTGTGAGTGTTTAAAAGAACAAATTCAGAATAATTGGAATCGAATTGAGCAATTTAAATAAATTTGAGATGGATAAAAACTAGAGCAATAGATGCTTCCGTTAAGGGCTTGTAGTCGGACCTCAGAAGTTGTGGATCATCTCATTAATCTATGTTGCTCGAACTCTTCAGAAATGTCACCAAGTGCATGTTGGATCCTCCAAAAGTAATGCATTTCTAGAGGATCCGACAGGAGTGTGCCAGCAACTTTGGAGAGTCCGAGCAACATAAATCTCATGAAACATAAATGTGCTAGTGTCCTTACAAAAAAGACAAGTGTAACATAGTACCTGCAAATGGACAGGGATTACTTTATATGTCAAGAAATCACACAACGGCCAGTACATTAGGCCATTCATCATTGTTGGGAGCAGGTCACGCTTCAACCTTGCAACGATTTCCCCCCCATTCTCACCTGAATGTGAAAACAAGAAAGAGTTAAAGGATTAAATCATGTTGCACCAATGAGACGGTAAATCAAAAGGCAAAGGTAATCATCAGACCTAGCATAACCGACAAATAATCATAGATCACAGAAGCAGATTTCTTAAACAGAACATTAACTCAACGAGTTTTTTTTTTTTAAAAAAAAAACACCCTTGAAAATGTTGACGTAGTCATGAAACTTTTCAAATGTGTTAACAATCAATACTGGCAATTAAAGTGTCAATACTGGCAGAGATTCACAGGAGGAAAAAGCTTAGAAGAAACAGCTCCCTTTAATGTAATATTCAGAACCTCAGCCACTAGACGTGGTAAAGTTTCACCTATATCATTCGACCAGCCCCACCAACTTAAACATCTTATGTACCTAACAACTGGATGTGGTAAAGTTTCACCAATAGATTATGTACTCAGCTACATTTAAATCCTCTGACTGTGTATGCATGTATATAGCAAGTGCTGCCCGGCGAAATTGGGGGAGTAGGGGAGGCATCTATGCAAAGACAAGTATGAAGCATTTTTGCACACAAGAACCCTTATTGTCTATATGGTTGACTAAAATTAAACAATACGAAACACTAGTTTACTGATAAAAAAAAATACGAAACATTAGTTTCTTTCTTCTTCTTCTTTTTTTTTTTGGATAAGAACAAAAACATAAGTTATTTTCTATGAGGTCTCCATATATCAAATAGTCTTGTTTCCACTTCCACAAATATTCATTTTATTGTTAGGTTTTTCCAAAGCTTCTAAAATTCTTGTCAAAGAAAAACCGTGAAAGCTCTCAGCATTCAATAAATTATTAGTTTGATTTATAGTTGAATAATATTACCAAATGACTAATGTGCAATCATTCGGCACTCGGCAGGAAAAAAGAATTTATCATTTTTACTATTAACGATGTATTATACACATTGGACCACCCTTATTCTGCCTCTATGATTTTCCCTTATGTTATTTGTATTTTTCTATAATTTGTCATGTTCTTTTTCCCCTCGGAATATACAGAACAAACATATTGCTTTACACTATAATGCAGGAAAGAAGCAAGGTTAAATCCCCCTCATAGTGGTGTAGTGTGTATCACTAGATTCTGATGTCCCACTCTGAACTGCTCTTTTGGGATACATAGAAATACTCAGGAAGTCCGGAAGTAAAGTTATGTGCCTTTTAGTATCAATTGTGAGTTGTGACAAATAGCATAATTAAGAAACGAACTAGCGACTGTAGTACTAGAAAGCAAGAACTAGGCAGAAAGCGAATAAAAGAGAGAAGAACCTAATGTGTACCTTGTAGAGCAGCATTGAAAGAGAAGAAAATAGAATTAATTACAGGCCCAAAACCAAGCTGTCCCATCAATAGCTTCTTCAATGTACTAATGGTATCCCGCTTCGGCAATACACTTGCCACAAAGTTAAACCAATAATGCTGTGCTGTTCCTAAAATTAATAGTCCAAAGCTAGCCATTCGTAGAGTCCTAATTATATCTAAAGAATCTGAAGGTGACATCATAATCATCTGAAAAATGCAAACCACATAGTCGACAAGTCACAACTCATGTTTAATCAATTTTTATCACATCAAAAAATTCAAACATTCCATTTCGTTTGTCTAATCAAAACAAAAATCACCAGTATATGTTGTGCTTCGGTATGGTGGAAACTGGAAATTGTTTTCCTTCACTAAAATCATTTTCCCATTTGGTTTTCTTGAATTGTCGAAAATATTTTCACCCAAACAAAGGAAAATGGAAGTCGTTCTTTAAGAACGTAACTATTTCTTAATATATCAACATTTAGCTAGCATTTGGCCATACATTTTGGGAGTAAATTTTGAAAAAGTTGTCTTCAAATATCTATTTGGCCATGAAATTCGATCATCTTCAAATATTCTCCGATTCCCAAAACTGGTTTTTGGGGACTTTTGCTTACAAAACTTCAAACTTTTTCCAAGTAAAATGCATGTTCAAACACAACGTATACAACTTTAAAAGCTCAAATTTTCGAGTTTCAATCTCAAAATTTATAGCCAAACTAGAGCTTAACATTTCAACTAACCAAAAAAAAAAACTATCTTTTCGTGTAAACCATTATCATTTATTACCTTCTATACTTAGATAATCAAATCAAACCAAAAATTCTCCAGAAAATTACAATTACAACATAATCTAAACCATTTTCCGCTGAAATTAGCAAATTAAAACTAAATTAAATTACAAAAATTAGCAAACAAAATAGGAAATTACCTGTGAAGTTACATCAGAAGCAGCATAAATAACAGCAGAAGAAATACTTTTCGTGATAATTGGACGAGCTTCTAGAGCTCCTAAATACCATGCCAAAAACCCCAATTGGGTTTTCGCAGACGAAGATGATGAATATGATTTTCGAAAAAGTAACAAAAACGAAAAAGAAGGGGTTTTACTAACTGTATTTGTATTGAAATTTTTACTACTATAAGATTTAGATTCAGTCCATATTCTGGAAATTGAATTCTTAGAAGTGAAACAACGGTTTGAATGTTGAATTGTTGTGCGTTTAGCTAAGCTTGTTAGAAAATTTAGTCCCATTTTTGAATGAATTTGAGATTTTTTTTCTTCTCTGTTTTTTCCAGTTTGATGAATTTGGGGGTTTTTGAAGATCAAAGAACACTGAGGTTTTTGCTTATGCTTTTACGGCTTTTGTTTTGATAATGCCATTTGGCCCCCAAAAGATTAGGGAAATTACACATGAGCACTAGTTTCGTGTAAATTTTAGGTTTAGTAAACATAAAAATCATATTTGTATGTTTTAACTATAATTTGCATAACTGAGTTTCATAACAAATTTTATATTTGCTATGGCGCATCGAATCTGTATAAGTTGCAAGCAGTCATTCGTTTGTGTAAAAGTGTAACGACTGTATATGTATATCGATTAGATAATTATATATACGTAACTACTATGTATATTTATCAATGATTGTTTTTATATATTTGCATAAAAATTGAATTTGTATACAATTAAATTGAAATAAAGCATTTGTATCAAATCTCTCGCTCTCGCTTTTATGTTTGTATAAATCGAGAAAGAGAGAAGACAAAAGAGAATTGCTGGGAAAACATCTGTATTTTTATGATTATAAATGTATTTACATTTGTATTTATATATATATATATATATATATATATATATTTCTCGCTTTGTATAAACGCAATTTATACATTTATGTTTGTATAAAGTGAGAGGGATGAGGAAGAGTTACGAGCGAGATCACGGAGACCGTCGAGCGAAATTCTATTGGGAGAGAAGAGAACTGTGGTTATGACATTTATTTTGAATTAATAATTTGCTATTTTATATAATTTTTCTCAATAAATTATCATGTTAAATGTATTATATGTTTGTTTAACTTTATACAAATTTAATTAGCTAACTACTTATACACGTTCAAAATTAAATTTAAAAATTAAGTTAAAAAACAAATTTATTTATGTATTACGGCTTAATTAAATATTAGTCCAAAAAAATGTATGAGTTTACTTCACCTCATCAAAATTGTGTCCATTTATAAATGCCACTTAATGTGAAGTTGACATATGATTTAATAGGACCTAATGTAACGTGACATAAATCATAATCACCAACCATTTTTGTTCTTGAAATTTCCAGAAACACACCATTAAATTATTGCATTTTCTTCTCGTGATACACATACAAACATAAAAATAAAATGATGAATTAAGCAACTACTATAATTATTTAAATACTTATAATAACATCTAAAAAAAATAAATTACTCCAAAAGCTTATTTTAAAATGTCATAAAATTTTCTCTAAATTTTGTGTCCAACTTATATCATATAAAATAAAAAATTATTTGATAACTAGTTAGAAAAAATATTATGTGCGTAAGAGATTCTCGATAAATAATATCATACTTGATAATTAGTTATAACTATATATAAAATTAAATACAATATCTTATTTACAATTTAGAAACATCAAAAATAATACTCCTTTTAATCCATATCGTTAAACTTAATATGGTATAGAGGAAGAAGATGTACGAATTATGTATAATTTTAAATACAGATGTACGAATTATGTATAATTTTAAATACGATATAAAATAGAATAACCAATTTTTATGTATACAATACAAAATTTTTTTTGGTCAATATATACATAATTTTAATTAATAATCAAATATTTTTTAAAAAATACTCTATCCATCTCATTTTATATATCACATTTCGAATTTCAAGAGTGATACAAGTCAATCTTTGATCGTATATTTTTCATAAATTTTTTAAACATTTTGAATTATCAATTGTTGTGACTCGTAATATCTTCTACGTAGTTTACAAATATATAAATTTCATTTTTAAAAAATTTCATGCGCAAATTTCCGATTTAACTCTCAAAATATAAAAAGTGTCATAAATTATAACAAAGGAAATACATACGGTAATCAAAAAGCGAGAAAATATTTTCTCATTCTTAATAAGATATATATTAGGTTTAAGTAAGTTGGCGCACATAGTCATTTTTGCTAGGGATATTTTACTTCCAATATTTAGAATTTGTAAAATTAAATTTAATCAAAATTTAATGCGAATATCAAATTTCGAAAAAAAGGCTATAATATTCACATGTCACACGCTACTTCACACCGACACTTCCATTTCCCCTAAAATTCACACTCTCCACACCCACACACACAAACAAAAACCCCCAAAACTCCTTTCGCACCAACAAAAATGGCGATTTCAGATAAAGTAACAGCGAATTTAACAACTCTGTATCTAGCAATTATAGGTGCAATGAAAGCTTACGGCTTAATTATCGGTCGAAATTTCACTGGTTGCTTCGTTCTCATACTTTCAACAGCTGCCGTCGCTCTGGTGTTGATTTTGACTTTGACATGGGATATTTACATCAAGGCGAGAAATGTTAGGGTTCGTCATAATCGGATTAATCATCGTAATCAGCAGCAGCAGCATAATAATACTAGTAACGAATTTTGTCGAGGTGGTATATGCTGGCACGGCGTCGCTGTTAGTTCTCCGGCGTCTCATTTCCGGTTCCGGCTACCTCAAAATCGTATTTAATTTGATTCAGAATTTAGACGAAGTAAGTTGATTTAATCGAAAATATATATATAAATTTTCATATTTTGGTCGGTAATTTATGTAGTTATTTGCTTTACATATTTGGAATAAGTTATTTTGAGATAAAGTTAGATTTATTAATTTTAATGATGAAATTAATAAATCAATCACAGGCAATTTGAATTTAGTATGACATTTTGATAATATTTTTAATTGTGGATTATCGAGTTATTGAAACTCAATGTTAGCTCCTAATAAATTTAGGACTGAGCAATTTGAATGTCTTGATTAAAATTCATAATATTAGCTTTTTGAGAATGAAGATCTAACTTTTGTATGTGATTAACCACTAAACTAACTTATCAAATGTCAAAAAATATTTTCAATAATTAATACATATCATAGTAAAATTTGATTTATTCGATATTAAAAAATAATTAAAAATTTATGATCAAGCAATAGTATAAATTTGGTAAGGTCAAAGACTGATGTTCAATTGGCTATTCTGCACTATCTAGGACTTGGAAAGGATTTTTAACTAATTATATTAATTGATCATTTTTAAGCATATATTAAGAAATTATAAATAAGACGATAGTATTATCAATTCACTTCTTAAAAACTTTTAAAATTTTACAAATAAGTATAAACACTTTTTAAATGAATTTAATTATGAGGTTTAATATGGAAAAGATCAATTAATGTCTTTTTACTTTAATTAGATAATTAATTAATACGAGATAATTATTTTTAATATAGTGATCCATTAATATAAAACGGAAAAAGTGTTTTTAGATGTTATTTAGCTTTAAAAGAGTACTTGTCTATTATTTAGTTCCAACCTTTAATTGATAAGATCATTGAAAGGGTCATTAGCTATGATATCAAAGTTATTATCTTATGATGGGGGCTCCAATTCAAACCTTTTGGTTCCAAAATTCAAAAGAAGTTGATCGAAAATGTATTTTGAGAGTCGCGTTTGTTAAAACTTAATCAACTTTTTATATTTACGAAATATTTAATTAATGATAAAATAATATTTTATCGTTTTACCATGATATTTTATCGATAAAAACACATAATCTATAATGTCTACAAGCTAGAGCATTAAGACAATCATATGAAGGGCTAACTTTATAAGACATTAACATGTTCTGAAGTGAAATAATAAACAAAAAGACAAATTAAAGCACCTAACAATCAATTTTAGAGAAGAAGAAAAAAAAAGATTATAATTCATTGTCAATTGCTTTTTCACTATAGGTAACAACTATGAAGTGCCAAAAAAATGTCAGCATCAAGTGGTTTAATGCTTATGTTGATCGGAATATATAATCGATATTTTTTCATCTTTAATCAGAAGATCTCAAATTTAAATCTTTAAATAAATACAATCATGTTAAAAAATCGTTTTCAGAAATAGATTTTACAAACACAAATTCAAATTTAGTTAATATTCAATATGATATCAGACATGAATGAAACATCATTCACAAATTCTTCCAAAAGTAATTAGAGATTTTGAGTTTAAAAAAACAACACGAAATCGAAAACGCTATCCCTCAAAATAAAATAGATCATACAATATATTATATGAATTTAAATTTAATTAAACTCGATATAAATATCGAACATCGAGTAACACAAAATGCCATTATTTTTATGCACACTCATTTTGACCGTACGCGTAAGTCCCTACGGAGAGGTCGTTCAAACCATTTGATATTTGTTTTTTTTTATATATAGTTTAAATCCATTGAAAACGTGTTAATTTTCTTCACAAATTAAATTATTAAAAAATAAATTTTATTTATTTATCTTCCCGTAAATATTATTCATTAGAGAAGAAAAAGTTAATTTATAATCCTTTTCTACACCAATACATTATTTATATTGAAAAAGGTTCAATTTTTTACAAAACAACACTTTAATTTTTACTTCATTTTATATTGTATTATATTATAATATTTGATTAAATATTTATTTAATTATAATAGTACAAAATATTTGGAAATTCTTCGTCTAAAAGACAAGAATAACTATGTCTACTCCTCAATAATTTGGAATAAATTAAAATATTACTAATGATTTCGAATTTCAGACGAAATAAAAAAATATTGACTGATTTTTAATATATCTAAATTTTTTATTTGATGAATACAATTATTCCTTACTTAACACCTATAAATAAAATAATATATAAAAATTTATTAAAATAATCTATATGCTGTATTAGTCAGAACACCACCTTATTATTTTTTAAAAACTTTATAATAAACTATTTATTTATATATTATTTAAATATATCATGCATTTGACGCAAACTGTTAACCATACCCACCTTACCAAATTGATAAAAAAAAAAAAAGAAGAAAAAATATTCTTCTACTTTAAATTTGATCCAAGCAAATCCAAATTGGTTCATTGTTTGTTTTTTTTTTGATAAAATTATAAATTTGTGATTGAATCAATTTTGGGTTTTCCCTTTTTTTTTTTTGGAATTTTTTGTGAAAAATTCGATTTGGGGGTTGAAGGATATGGGTTCATATTTTGATCGATGGGAGAAAGATCCGTTCTTCTCTGCTGCAGAGGAGGTTCAGGAATCTGCCGACAGGTAATTTTATATTTTTTTGAATTTTTTTTTTTTGTAATTTTTTCTGATTTTTTTTTTGCTAATTTGTGTGTTTTTAGGGTTTTAAAATCAATAGTTCGTTTTGGAAGGTCAATTTATTTACTGGTATTGAAATGAAATGAGCTGTTGTAGAGTTGAAATGGATATAGATGATGGGTAATTGGTTGATTTTTAAAAAAAATAAATTTGGGAGGTTTTGGATTAGTTTTGTTGTGTGAGTTAAATATTTTTTTGTTGTTGTTGTTGTTGATGGTGGTGTGAGGATAGATGAGAAGAATTAGCTAGTGTTTTAGTTTGGGGTTCGAACCTGAGACCTCGTGGATAATGATTTTGTGTGAATTTATTTATGATAGTGGTGCAAAGTTTGAAGCTTTTGTTGGTTTTAGTTTGTGGGGTTTTGTTCTTTTTGTTGAAATGTTTGTTTAATTTGATTTTTCAAGGATGGAATCAACTTATAGAACATGGATTCATGCGTTGAAGGATACTTCTGGACGTTGGAATTCCGACGAGCTGTGCAGAGACCTAAGGACTACCCTTGGCACTGCTAAATGGCAGGTACGACTCCTTCCCGAACACAACTCCCCCTGCCCCATAGAAGGAACATAACAGATAAAGAGAAATGACAAAAAAAAAAAAGATTAACGGACACGTGTACTCGCATATAGGGTGTTAATGTTGGACGGACACGTGTATTCGCATATAGGGTGTAATGTTGGATGCAATAAAAGTTGAATTTCTTAATGTTAATGCAGTTGGAGGAATTTGATCGGGCAGTTAGTTCAAGCTACAGTAATACATCAACTGATGATGCTAAAGAAAGGCATGGTGAATTTGTTATTGCCATGGATAATCAGATTAAGAAAGTAGAGAAGAGTCTAAATGAATCAGCTTTTTCACAAGGCAATCAATGGGTGCGCTTGGATGAGAGGGAGCTCGATGAACTAGCCGTGTTTCTCTCAGGACCATCGACCTCTTCATCATTTTCAGACAAATCCTCTGTAAAAGTTGACGAAGTTGAGCAGAAACCAGCTTTGTGGGAAGAGGATTGTAAGCAACGAATGCCAGAGTATTCAAAAAGTTCATCTAACTTAGTGGACGGGAGTCAAGTTGACACCAAGGATGAGATGTATTCAGGGCACCGGAAGACAGCAAGTGCTTGTGGTGATATTAGTGCTTGGAAGATTGCAGTTGCTGATGATATTTGCGGCAAACAACCTGTACCACCCCCCCGCAAGATACCCAGTATTCAGGGCCTGTTGAATTGCGTGGAATCTGCGACGAAGTTGAAGTGGTCAAAGAATGGTTACAGGAAGCTGAGGTTCAACTCTGATGATCATCAAGAAGCTGATTGTACATTGCCACAGTCTCTTCCATTGACTAGGGTGTGTATTTGTTCTGAAGTTTCTGACATTGATACTCCTCATTCCAATTTTACGTGACACTATTAGACTCATTTTTCAAGGTTTTTCAATTTTGTTGTTATTACATTACTTAAGTCAAGTTTGGAAACAAAACTAGAACAATTAAAAACTAGATATGACAACATAATGAATATAGTCAAACTATATAATATAACATTTCTAATGAATCATGATCAAAATCATATAGTTTTACCTTTTGAGGTTGAATAAATTTGGAAGAAAGGGATTTGATTATCAATTGTCCTAAAAATACTTGTATATTTTCTTCATCAGTTATAGATGTCCTTGATTCATGTTGAATTTGATTTTCTGATGTAGGGCATTAACACATGTTGTGAGAGGAGTAAAAGTTGCCTTGATTGTTGTGATGAAAGGTACCAGAAGCAACTTAATGGTTGGTATGGAGCAGTACAACGACAGCTGCAAAGGTCTCAGTATTATGTGAAATACAATCGTCCTGTTCAAACGGTTTCTTCTGTGGTTCTTCTAATTTTCTTTATTGGTGAGTGCTAACTCAAACTTGTTTATCCATAATAACCTTTGTTTGTCTTTCGATTTGTAAAAAAAATCTTGTATTTTCCTTGACCTTTCATAATTCTGAAAGAAAATTATAAAAGCGTATACCTTATTAAAGTAAAGCAATAGTAGTTTGGCATAGTTCATTCTGTTGATTCTATATATAGTTTCACCGTTGTTGAGGTTTTCTTTGCCATGAGACATATAATCTAGAAGTCTGGTTCCATTTATGCTTTTTTGTTGGGGTAATGATTCTTCTAATTTTTCTTTCTTTCTTCATCCTGCTAAATTGGAATTCGTTAAATAAGATATGGAAATACTAAAAGTAAAAGAAAATACTTGTGGCACCTGAATACAGTTTGTTAGCCACAGAAAAGTGTCGTTGCATTCAAATAACATATTGAAATGGATAACTGTTTGCAACAAAATTCTGGGCAGGTGATAACATAAGCTCTCTTGTGTTCTCTCGTTGGTTCTTTATCTTCTTACTTGTTGACATAGAAGCTTGATTAAAACCTTCAAGTAGATTTGATGTTCCGGTTATGCTGTTGAAATGGACCAGATGTGTTTCTGCCCTTCCCTGGGCCAGTGCATAACCGGAGTTTAGTGCACTAGGCTGCCCTTTTTAGTGACTTACCATGTTCGTGATCTATGTTAAAGATTTACAATTAGCTAGTTCTTCATCCTCTATTTCAAATAGTACTACTTGTCTATGATTCTGATTTCTCACCTTACCTAGTTAACTTTTTCTGGTTCGGGAAAAAGATTGTATTTCATCTTACCTTTCACTACGAATGGGATCTTTTTTGCAAGAGATAGAACATTCGTTGTAGCATCAAGAATTTTTGTTTTCTTTAATTGGAACCGGCAAATTGATTCTTCTTTCCTTCTTGCTCTGCAGTTTTATTGGGGTTCCATATTTGAGTGACGAGCCTATATTCCTGCAAACGAAGAAAAAAGCTTGCTGGGTTCGAAAGATCAACAAACAACTGCCTATTATTTATACCTTATACAGGCAGGTGATTTTATTGGAGTTATATGAAGTGAAAGCTGGAACAGATTGCACTAAAATTGTTGCAGTAATACATACCTTAACCATATATCATGCCAATTTAAGTGGTACTAGTAGTGGCTGGCTAATTACTGTTGTATTATAAGATGAATCTTAAGGATTGCAGGTAAAATGTTGTTCAAAACCTGCATCCACAGAAATGAACCATTTCAGGTCTATTTGACCCGCGACATCGTGTATAGTGTGCTATTATTCATTATCTGGATATTGGTCTAAACTCCTTATTCTTCTTCTTCTTCGACGATGATGTTCAGGCTTCTCTCCCCATTCTGTTGTGGTTATGTATAACAGGATTAGGTACACCAGCAATCTTATTTCTGTGTCCCTGGGAAATTCGATCCATTTAACGTTGGTGCAGGTCCAATCCTAGCCCTTCTGGTCCTGTCTTATGTCCATTTTTTTCTGTTCTTGCAATTACCATTACAATATCTTCTCCATTTGGTGTTTTTTTCTTTACTTTTCTGTAGTTTATAAGATTTTATAACACCCAAAAAATGCTTCAAGCAATTCTAATCAACTTGCACAAATTTTCATCAATTGTGAGTTGTGACTAATATAACATTGAAATGCAATATTTGAACTAAAATTAGCGTTTGTTTCACTACATCTGCAAACTAAGACAAATGAAGCACAATTAAATGTTAAAAAAGAGTGATTGAGATGAGTATTTATCATAATACCTACACTAATCGATACTTAGCGTTATGCAAACAATGCATTAAAAGTGACGGTAAAAAATAAAAATTTATTTTTAAAATAACGGACAAATAAAAGTGAACGAAAGTCCGTATGTTGGTAAACAAATTTAACATTTTAAATAAAATTGTCTGCAAAATCAAAAAGCATTTACAAAATCTCTTTTCTTAAAAGGTATTCTTATGGTTAATCAAATCACTAGATTTTAGAGTTTTTGGATAAATATATTATTAATAATTCAATAATTCAAATTGACCTCTTTTATTTCAATATATTACACAAACCTCCCTACATTTCTTCCATCAGATCAAATACGGCGCCGCAAATTTCAGTTCAAAGGTTTGCAAGGTCAGCAAGCAGCTCACCAGTTCTTTCATGGCTTCCCTTTTTCAGAAATTTCAAGAGGTATACTTTGTTTCTCACATTGATCAACTGAAACTTCTTTCCTAAATTTGATGTACTGTTCAAAGATGTAATCTTGAAACTTAGACATGTAATTTTAATGGTCTCAATAGTTTCTTATAATAAAAATTCAAAATTTTTTTCATATGGGGTTGTGGGGTTCTTCCCTTGCTAAAAAAAAATCACAACTTTATTGTTGGAGAGTCAAAAAGCTTTTATCTTTTATTAATTTTAACTATAAGGATTGTGAATTTTATGATGTATAGTACTTCCTTTGTTTCAATTTGTTTGTTTTGATTTTGAATCTTGGTACGGAGATTAAGAAAGTAAAGAATGAGTTTTGAATCTTGTGGTCGAAACTTTTGAATTTGTGATATATTAAGAAAGTAAATACTAAGACTTTTGAATCTTGTGGTGTTAAACTAAAGATATGCAACCGAAGTATGGTTTATTGCAAAGTTGCCAAAAAAGGGAAGAGATTTTTTTTGAAATGGACTAAAAAGGAAAGTAAGACAGAAGTTGAAACGAAGGGAGTGATACTTTTTTATGGTATTTGTGATTAAAAATATGGTATGTACTCGTTGTATTGTGTTGAATATTGATGTATTTAATCTCCTGAAGTTGAAGTATTTTGCTTTCTGAAATGATTTTTAGGCGGTTAAAGTTCTTGCTAAAAGTCCCACATTTGCTAAAGATCCAAGGAGTCTACAGTTTGAAGCTGATGTAAACCGCCTCTTCCTGTATACTAGGTAAGGATCATTTCAACACTTGAAGGAAAAGTAATGTTGTTGTCTTATGATGCTGGTGTTTCCTGTAAATAGATTGGTGAGACAACTACAACTTAGTTGCGTTTTATATATAACTAAGTCAATCAACTCTGGGTTTTATCTGCGCTCGTTGAAATTTACTCCAATAACATAGCTTTATCGTCGATGCTTGCACCGAGAATTGGCAGAAACAAGTTGTTTGGCTGTATGATTTGTACTTTTCCTCGTTAAGCCACGTTTAGAATGAAAAGATTGTCAGTTTGATTCAGCTTTCTGTATGAGTAATTTGATCAACCAGGATAGGCTCCTTCATGTCAATACAATTCTACAGGCTATTAAGTTTTTCATTTAATATATAAATATGCAACCTTATAAGATTTGTTTTAACAAGTGAAACATAAAGGGCAGGGGTTACATAAATAGGTTTGCATTGTAAATAGATAAAGTATTTTATGAGCTAGTATTTTACTCAAGTCATCACCCAACAATCCTTATTCCACATTTTCCTTTTGTTTCTTCTTAAGAAAACTGTTGCTTTAAGTCTTCAACACTAGTTGCAATATATACCAATCCAGAGGGGGAAGGGATTGCAATAAATTATAGTCCTCTATGGATCTTACCTGCAACTAATTTCTTTTCTGATGAATTGCTTTTATGAAACCTGTGATGGTGAAATTGCATGTCCTTTATGCTTTAAGTTTCACAAGTTACAGTTTTAACTTTGCATGATTAACTTCATCTTTCAGTTACAATCGTTTGGGGAAGGATGCCGTTGAAACTGATGCAGAGGAGATCATTGACATGGCTGGCAAGGCCTCCCTAGCTGATCAACAGAAGCAGGTCCAAGAAAATGTGCATTCCCAAATTACAAGCTTTTGCAAATATATGGATCATATATTACAACCTGATCTTACGGTCAAGGACAAGCCGGAAACACCATCTTCCGAAAATAATTCTTCTCCTCGTCGCAGTGGGCTCAGTTTTGCAATTGGTAGGACTGCTCCATTAAAGGACCACAGCGGTAAGATCTTAAGCTCAATTTCCATAGCACCTTTTAAGCTTGTTGATTTTCTAAAATTTGTTAGAAGTTTCATGGGTGCCCAACTTTAGCATACACGTAGGTGATCCCTTGCTATCCTGCTTTTTCTATGTTATGTCAGATTAAGAAGACAAATTTCACTAGCCATAAAAAACAGAAAACCAACTCAATGTAATTCTAATTAGACCAGTTCCTGGGATGTAATGCCTGAAATTAGAGATGTGTAAATTCATTGTGATCATTTGCAAATTTATTAGGTGGATGGAATTAAATCCTCAGCTCAAGCCTCTTAACTTACTAGATTCACCAAGAGCTGTGTGTATGTCAATTGCTAAAATTTAAAGGAACCTTCCTTTTTTACCTTGGTTAAGCTTCTTGTTGTGCGGAATTTGAGATAATACGAGAAAATATAAACGCGAAAAACAAGACAACAGATTTACGTGGTTCACCAATAAATTGGCTACGTCCACGGGAAGAGAGGGAGCAGTTTTATTATGGAGAGGCAAAAACAGAATTACAGAATAGGGTTTCCCATAGCGTCTATATATAGTGCTAAGCTACGCCCTAACAGGCTTGGGCCCAATTCAAGGCATTCAACACTTCTGATTTATATGACTCGGGTCGTTTAATGGCCTGTTCCATGACTTAGTTCTCCTAGTCTATTGCTGTATGAGACAGCTACAACCTTAGCATTGTGACTTATGAGTATAGTTCTGATTTTTCTTTGCTAGGGATTCTTGATTTAAGCCTTTGATCATCCTTGTACAATGGAACCTCTCTATAACAACCATCCTCCATAACTACATTTCGAGTTTTCTTTGGAACAACTGTTCATGTTATAGTTTACTTCTCTATAGCAGTATTTGACCTATAACAACAGAGGCTATCATTACACCGATACACTCTTTATAAAATCACTTCAAAAATAACAATCCTTACTCAAATATTGATTTACTTTGCTTTTCACTAATGATGCTAATTCTGATTGACGGAAGGGAATCCTTAATGAAAGTTTTCTTTGGTAAGCAACCTGGTGATCTTGACTTGCTTATTAAATTTATTCTTTGTTCTTTCTGTAAGTAGGCCATGACTATTCTAGCCAAAAAGTTCAGTTAGCTTCAGTCTATAGTGACCAAGCATAATTGATATTTTCTCTGGTGATGGATTCTTAAATCTTGTCCTTTATGCTATCCAAAATTTTAGAGTATAAGAATCTGTAGTTATTAACAATTTCTTCATAAAGGACCCTAGAATATTTGTCAAGGAAAAAGTAGTCCCTAGATTAATACGAGTCCTTTCAGAATAACAACAATAGTAATAGCTAGTGACAGTAACAGAATATAATCCTGGTAACTTGCTTATATGTTCATTTGTTAATAGATACATCTTGTACTAAATATTTAATTTCTTTTCACTTTTCAATTCTTTTTCCTTTTTGATTTTGGTAATGTAACAAGCACTATACTCTTCACATGTGATTACTATAAAATTCAAATATAACAGCTTGAGTAATTGATTTTGCTTTCATAACCATTTTGGATTTGATCATACTTCCATTTTTGTTTATGTTTGGTTGTTTAGTATTGAGCTTACGGCATGTAGAAACAAAACATATATAAGGCTAATGATGCTTTTTTCAGACTTTCTTCAAATTAAGTAAATTTTGTCATCTAAACATTTTGGTTGTTCATAAAAGTCCATGTCCTGGAAATATGGATCCATAGGTATTTGTTGGACAGTTGTCATAAGTTGTGTACAATAAACTCTTGAAACGTGCGCTATGACATAAGGTCATAGTTCCTGTATCTTTTTGGTGTTCGCACATAGATTAATTTCAAGTTTTCCAGTCGTCTCGGACAAAAGTTTTTCTTTTTCTCTTCAAGTGTGATTAGTTGAATTAGCTGCACTGTGCCCTGGATTTTGATTACTGTTCTGCTTTCAGCACAGCTATACCTGAAAGCAAGCCATTGAAGCGCACAGAGGTTTCACAGAGTTTAAAGGATCTTATGGGCTATACTCTCGAGGTCAAACCTTCTCAAATTCCACATGAGGATGCTGGGCAAGGTTTATTCATACGTGGTGAAGCTGATGTTGGTACTGTGTTAGCAGTATATCCTGGTGTAATCTACTCCCCTGCATACTACCGCTATATTCCTGGATATCCAAGAGTTGACGCCCAAAATTCATATTTGATCACACGGTATGATGGAACTGTGATAAATGCACAGCCCTGGGGTGCTGGTGGTGAATCTCGGGAAATATGGGATGGGTCGTCTCTTCCTGAGCCTAAGCACATCATGCAAGCTGATGGAAAGGGTTCTGAGCGAATATGGA